TGCTGAATGGCACAAGGAAAAGTACATGGAGTTCTGTGAATTAGTCAAATGGAAAAACTAGCATTGGCAACAACAGTGATCCCACCACAACTGCGACCTCAACACATCCTGTCAAGCACACAAGTCCATTCACTGATGACCATCACCCTTATTGGCAACTTTATATATCATATTCTTTTGTCCTGAAGTAGATATGGCAAACTGGGCTGGCAAACAAAGGGACTGGCTATTGTTCCGACAGCCCATTATTCCGAAACCCCAATAGTCAGAAAAATGTCACATTGGACCAAAAGTCCGTTTGTATAGCAGCCTGTTATCTTAAAAACAAAAGCCCACTGCTCCGATGGCCTGTTGTTCCGAAAATACACACTCTCTCGAGTTTGTTGCCCTTAACATAGATATGTTATGTAAGTTATACCAGGCTAGTGTTTCCAGAGCAATTGGCATTTGTTTTCGGGCTAATGGGCTGTCTAAATGGACATTTATCGGACTATTGTGGTTTGAGAATAATGGGCCATCAGAACAAAATATATTTATGTGCACTTGCTGCTTCTGTTGAAGAGATTCAGGGAAAAATATTTCTTGGAAAGTGACAATTAACAGTTTAAACGCAGGCACCATGGAAATTAACACTAGTATTTAAAGCTTTATTAGCCAACTAAATTTGCAACTTTTTGAGTTTACGAGGGCCGCTTCAACACACAGTATTTGCCTCTCAGAGCCTAGGGGCATCCTTCTCTTCCTTCAAAGGAAAACACAGTATATGAAAATGACTCCCTGTTGTTAACAGCCTTCATTGACAGATTTACACGCAACATACAGTAGAGAGGACTCTTTTAGCTCACTGTGTTAGGTCAGACTCCACCAAAAACACACCCAGTACATACTAGCATGCAATATATCATCCTGCAAGAAAAAGCACTCCACAAAACATGCAATGTCACAACGTGTAAACTTTACATGAGGATGCCTTCAGAGATACGCCCGACTTGTGAGCTTTGTCAGCTAGCACTGAGTGTGTCTCCAAACATTTCTGTTTGATGAGTGTTGATAGGTGTTTGCATGTGTCTTTTGACGATCCTTCAATGTAAGTTGCTGTTTCTCCATATTAAATGACTTAATAATATTGTATATAAGAGACATGAAAGTTAATGATTACATTTGTTGGTCTGGTTTGGAAGGAAATCGGAGAGTTGTAAGGAGAAAACTGTCCTCCAGCTATGTAGAAACACAGCTGACTTTGCTTGTAGTTTCTGGACAATTTTTCGTGCTCCATCTTCTAGAGTTGGCTCTATGTTACGATGCAAGAGGTGTAATTCTGATAAATAGATGAATCTTATACATATACAGTGTATTTGTTTTTGTTTTGATATTCCCATAACCTGAATACATTTGCATGTATTTAAATGGAGGATGTAAGGAACTGACTAACCTGTAGTTGTAGTAAATAAGTATGTTTTAATGTTAACATTTTTTGTTTAATTTCACATTAGCTACAGTATATTCAGCTATAATGCGAAGTAGGTCAGTGTTATGTTAAACACTGAAATGGAGCAGCCTCCTGCAGTACGGATCACCATCTGCTGGCACTGCAGGCAACTTCAAATGGATTTTAATACAGTATTAAACAAGTTACTGTGCCTGTGAGGCAGCTTGCTCTGCAGTTGTCTGCACACAAGGTGGTGCTGTGGTTAACTTCATATACTGAGTCACTGTGGGACACGAGGCTAGAGAGAGTAACAGAGATAGAGATGAAAACATATAGATCACAGCAACAAAAAGCAGGAAGTTGTTTGAAAGTGAAGAGTATAAAATGTAAGGTAAAGAAAAATGAGTAGAGAGTAGTCTGATCAATTACCTGCACACACATTCAGCCATGCCCTAGTATGTTGGTTATGTAATGGAGAACACCTAAGAGGTCATATCCTACAAACTCCACATACGCAAAAGGTTTTGTAGGCCTCTGCTCTTTGTATGCCATTTAAAATGTCGGTTTACATCTTATGTTGCACAAAAATAAGTTTCATTTTTGAGGCAGATTGCGAAAATGCATTCTATTGTTTCAGTGAACTCTGCTTTAACCATTGTGTTGCTATATGAAGAAGCTGCTAATGAGACAAACAGTCAAATAGGTTGTTTAGGAAATTGTTCTCAAATCCTCACACTGTTACAAGTGGTTGAGAAGAGCTATTGCTACTATGCAAGCTATATATCAGTTAAATACCTGACACGTTTGCATTCCCCTGATAAACAATTTTTTGACAGTTGTACATTAGTTATGTTGTTCACTGAATTGTTTTGTCTTGTGTATGTTAGATGTTGTAATGTAAGACAGGCAACATAGCAGCAAAGAAAGACAATATTTATCCATTTTTTTGTTGCATTTACAGCCTAATAAACTCATCTGGCACCTCGATGCTCATTCAGTGACACATATGTGTCTGTGCGTCATATGCTCCTGTTGGCTTACAGTACATTGTAAAAACTTTTATGTCTTAAAGTCACAAAAACTCTAAATGATAACAGTATTGTCCTTAAAGAGCTGAACATTTAGATATTTGAATTGTTTCTGTAGCCAAGCTAAAAGTATGCAGAAGCAGTGAGCGACACAAAGACAATAAAATAAAATAAAATAAAATAAAGATAATAATATTCTCACATGAGAGAAGGGCGAAGATAACGATGGTGGACAGGCTGAAAGGTGTGAGGGCCAACTCCCACACAAATGAGATCTAAATAAGAGAAATGTATCACTCTTATCAGGTGTAAATGTAAACAATCCTCCCAATTATTATTTGCCTCATGCATTTCTCAGAAGTAGACGTGTGTGAAAACAACTGCAAAAGAGACATTACACATTTCAATGTGTAAAACAATGTATGTGTCACTGTGAGGAAGAGAGGGTTATTAATCAGACAGACAAATAATGACTTTAGATCATGCAGTCTTCATCAAATGGGCTAAATCATAAAGGCAACTCCAAGTAAAAGTGTTTTATGTTTTAGATATAGTCATGAATACCAACTATAACCTTCGCGCCTATATTACATCGAATACCAATAACCGAGATATCTAATTTCCCCAATAAATTTTCACAAGTAGCAGCATTCAAATTCAAAACAGAAGTTCAGAAATTAATTATATCTGTGCTAGTTAATTTCTACTGGGTAACAATGTAAGGAAGGTTTCAAATAATGCTGAATCATCCTTGCTCTTCTGTCTTTGTGATGTACACTGCAAACCTAAGTGACTGTACCAAGTTGTGTTTAACAATTGTCACATATGTAGGTACATTTAATTATGTTATATTATCTTAAAAACATTACAAATACCAGCTGTAACTTTCAATATACAGTTAGGTCCATATATATTTGGACACTGACACAAGTTCTGTTATTTTAGCTGTTTACCAAAACATATTCAAAATACAGTTATATTATCAATATGGGCTTAAAGTGCAGACTCCCAGCTTTAATTTAAGGGTATTCACATCCAGATTGGAGGAGGAGTTTAGGAATTACAGCTTTTTAATAGCCGTCTCTTTTTCAAGGGACCAAAGGTAATTGGACAATTAACTCAAAAGCTATTTCACGGGCTGCATGGGCTATTCCCTCATTAACCCATCATCAATTAAGCAGGTAAAAGGTCTGGAGTTGATTCCAGGTGTGGCATTTGCATTTGGAAGCTGTTGCTGTGAACCCACAACATGCGGTCAAAGGAGCTCTCAATGGAAGTGAAACAGACCATCCTTAGGCTGCAAAAAAAGAAGAAATCCATCAGAGAGATAGCAGAAATGTTAGGAGTGGCCAAATCAACAGTTT